TTACTTAAATAGTTAATTTAATTATTGCTAAAGAAAATAAAAGGAGATTTATTTAGTTTATTAGTTTAAATGTATTAAGGCACGACACACAACACTATGCGTGTGTGGTATGAGGCCTGCCCTATTAAATATATTATTGTTTTGAGTTTATAGTTAACTCAATGCAACAAACCCACTGGCTGTTTGAGGTTACACCGGGGGTTTGTTCTGCTACGTAATAAAGCAAAATTACTTTGCAACAATAAAATATATTTTTGTGGCGGCAGGCGGCTACGGTGTTCCACACAAAAGAAATTAGTTGATCTATTGTTGGGGGTATTTTGGGCGGGTAAGCTAAGTCAACACAAAAGATGGTGAATTCGACAAATCATCAGAAAGTCTAGCTACACTTAACAGTGTAAACTAAACGTCTTTGATGAAGTCTGCATCAAATATGACTGTATATTGGCAACGGTAAAATTTTCGCAGATAGCTTCGCATCCTACCACCAATTGGGTGGTGTTAAATGTGAGGCAAAAATGTCACATGACAGTTTTCACATTCTTCTTGCAGTTTATTGCCTCACCATTTCGCTTTTTGCATCTTGCAAATTCCTAACACCCGTTGTTAAGTAATCTCTAACACTTGATATGTACTAGACTATTATTTTGGGCTTGTATTTTTATCGTCTGAGTTTATTTTACTTCATGAGGTTAATTTATTTTGAGAACAGATTATTTAGCTTAATTTTTACTTTCTCGTATATAAAAAGTATAGAGAAAGTCTTGTAATCGTGCAAAAAAAAATCTCGACGTTTTACACCTCACTGATACGGAAAAACATAATTTTGCAATCTTGTCCGTATGTCTGTGTGTGTGTAAACACGATAACTTGAGTACCGTTACAGCTAGATAACCGGAAGTGGTACTTTTTCTACTTTATATTTTTCAAAAGCCTATAACTTGAGTACTATTTCAGATAGATAAATGAAATTTCACATGTAAGTAAAAGATCTAATTCTCTACCTTCTATCAAATTTTGAGTAATTTCCGTTGACCGGAAGTACTAATTTACGCTATTTCCGATTTCTCAAAAAAAAAAACGCATGTAAATTTATAAAGTACTAATAATATTGCGCACTATTATGCACATTTTGTTTTGGCGTTCGCCTGGTGCGCAATTCTTTTTTCTACTAGATTCTATTTTTAAAAGTTTAAGTAAACAAAAATCATGTCTATATTCCGAGTTGCCATCCCACGTAGTGCTATATTAGAAAATTCGAAAAAGTTTAGGAGAGATCACTCCCGGTTTATTGTAACTATCTTTATTATGTGTTTCTATGATCAAATGGTCGCAATACTGCTATTCCTAACCAGCTGGGAATAGCCTTGGCCATAAAAAAATACCTAAAATTAAGATTTAGTGAGTTTATCTACAAAGACAACTGAAAGTAGTCATTCATTAGTGTAGTTTAGTCATTTTTATTGTGTTTTTTGTAATTAAAAAATTATTTTTAAAAATTAGGTCTAGGGGGCCATTTATGAAGTCCACAAAAATATGGTTTTGATCCCCTCTGGTTACATATTTGGATATAGACTATCAATCTGACTACAGACCAGTTTAATTTTCAAAATCTGACCATAAACAAAAACGTTATGAATTTTTTTCCCAACCCTTTTGGCGCCCCCCTAGGGTCGGCGCCCCTGCCCCCCCAGCTATGCCTCTGTGTCTGACTCAGCAAAATTATACTTCAAGCAAAACTAGAGTAGAACCAGAGTTGAAAAAATGAAAGACAGGTATATTAAACTATTTTTAAAACAACAAGTAGGAGATTTTTTTGTACATTACATAAGAATACTGTTGTTAGTGTATCAAAACTAAAAGCCGGCAGATCGGGATGAAGAAATATAACATTGGCGTCAATGGGGGCAACGTGACCTACTTACGGTGACTACTTTCAAATGAGTATTTACTAATGTCAAAGTCGAAATATCCAAAAATAAATATAATTTCTATAAAAATGGGATGTATCTGCTTTGGAAACTTTCATTATTTAAATGGAAACTTTTCAAAAATCGCGTTTTTAACGCATTTGAAGTTAACCTTTACACAGCGGTAAGACCAAAGCAGAGACAGCATGCAATCAGATC